AAAAGGAGAAAATGTGAGGGGAAAAAGGGTGGAAAATGTGAGGGGGAAAAGAGGGGAAAATGCAGAGAAAAAGGATGGGAAATGTAAAGGGGGAAAGGGTGGGAAATGTGAGGGGAGAAAAGAGCGGGAAAAATGAGGGGAGAAAAGAGCTGGAAATGTAAAAGGATAAAGGGTGGGAAACATGAGGGGAAAGGAAACATGAGGAGAAAAAAGGGTGAGAATTGTGAGGGGGAAAAGAGAGGGAAAGATGAGCAGAAAAAGGATGGGAAATGTGAGGGGAGAAAAGAGAAATGTGAGGGGAAAAGAGAGGGAAATGGGCAGGAAACATGAGGGGAAAAAAAGGAGAAAATGTGAGGGGGAAAAGGGTGGAAAATGTGAGGGGAAAAAGAGGGAAAAATGCAAAGAAAAAGGATGGGAAATGTAAAGGGGGAAAGGGCGGGAAATGTGAGGGGAGAAAAGGGAGGGAAACGTGAGGGGGAAAGGAATTGTGAGGAGAGAAAATGGTGGGAAATGTGAGGGGAAAAAGAAGGAAATGTGAGGGGGAAAGAGAGGGAAATGTGAGGGGGAAAAGGGACAAATGTGAGGGGAAAAGAGCAGAAAATGTGAGGGGGAAAAGAAAAGGGAAAAATGAGGGAAAAAAACCTATGGGAAATGTGAAGGGGAAAAGGGAAATGTGAAGAGAAAAAGAGGGGCAATGTGAGGAGAGAAAAGGGTGAGAAATGTGAGGGGGAAAAGGGAAATGTGAGGGAGGAAAAGGGTGGGAACGTGAGGGGAAAATGGTGGAAAATGTGAAGAAAAAGCATCAGGAAAAGAAGCTGAAGACACAAGAGGAGAAAGAAGACAAGAAAAGGTAGGAACAGAAAGGGGGGAGATGGGAAAAAAAATTAATCCAGGGTTTTCTCACAAATACCAACCGAAATCCCACTAAAAAAACCCTCAAATCCCACAAAAATAATCCCAAATACCACAAAAACCACCCCAAATCCCACAAAAGCTACCTCAAATCCCAGAAAATTCATCCGAAATCCCACAAAAACAACCCCGAATCCCCCAAAAATCATCCCGAAAATGACCCAAAATCCCACACAAACCACTCAAAATTCAACAAAAATTACTCAAAATTCCACAAAAAACACCCCAAATCCCACAAAAATCATCCCAAATCCTACAAAAATCATCCCAAATCCCTCAAAAAATGACCCAAAATCCCACCAAAAACCACCCAAAATCCCACAAAAACCACAAAAATCCCCCAAAAATCATCCCAAATCCCACAAAAAATGACCCAAAATCCCACAAAAATAATCTCAAATCCCACCAAAACCATCCCAAATCCCACCAAAAACCACAAAAAATCCCCCAAAAACCACCCAAAATCCCCCAAAAACCATCCCAAATCCCCCAAAAACCATCCCAAATCCCACAAAAATTGACCCAAAATCCCACAAAAAACACCCAAAATACCCCAAAACCCACCCAAAATCCCACAAAAATAATCTCACATCCCACAAAAATCCTCCCAAAATCCCACAAAAATCATCCCAAATCCCACAAAAACCATCCAAAATATCACAACAAATGACCCCAAAATCCCACAAAAACCACCCCAAATCCCACAAAAAATGACCCAAAATCCCCCCAAAACCCCCCAAAATCCCACAAAAACCATCGCAATTCCCCAAAAAAATGACCCAAAATCCCACAAAAACCACCTAAAATCCCACAAAAAATGACCCAAAATCCCACAAAAACCATCCCAATTCCCAAAAAAAATGACCCAAAATCCCACAAAAATCATCCCAAATCCCACAAAAAATGACCCAAAATCCCCCCAAAGCCCCCCAAAATCCCACAAAAACCATCCCAAATCCCACAAAAAATGACCCAAAATCCCCCCAAAGCCCCCCAAAATCCCACAAAAACCATCCCAAATCCCACAAAAGATGACCCAAAATCCC